GACTGGGTGAAGCCACCCTTATCGCAGGAGGCAGAAGGAAAAAGGGGGGGCTGGTGCCCCCTCTACAGGCCGCCTCTGCCCCTTCTCCCCCCCGGCAGGAACTCTTTGCCCTCCACTTGGTGTGGGGCATTCCTCCTCCTCCTCCTCCTGCCCCCAGGAGGCCTGGTCCTCTCCTCCATGCTTCCCTTAATACCGGTTGCTTCTCCCCCAGGGGTGTTGAAGGCCGTGGAGCACATCAACAAGACGATCGCCCCAGTCCTGATTGAGAAGGTGAGTCGGGGGAGAACTGTGCTAGTTGGGAAGCAGCTGAGCCCCTGGGGGGGGTCCTGTGTTGAGCCCCCCCCCGAAGACTCTGCTGCACACCCCCCCCCGGGTGGTTTCCCAGCCAGTGGCAAACAGCCATCCTCACGTGCTCAGAGGCTTCCCCTTGGCTCCTCTAAAGAAGCGGCCCCCACCTTAGGGTGCCCCTCGTTGGTTGGGGGGAGGGGAATGTGACCACCCTGGAGCAAAAGCCTTTCAGTGGGATGCTTTCTTTTCTGGGGGGGGGGGGAGAGACAGGGGTAGGAACGCTGCAGAGCTGCAGTCGCCGTCTGCCCCCATTTCTCTTCCCCAAAGGGACTCTTGGCTCAATTTTAAGGACCAGATAGGGAGCTTGCCACCTTTTTGCCGATTTGGGGGCTCCAACCTTTTGGTATTTCCTGAAGGTAATCCGTTTTTTTCTTTCCTTGGCAGAAAATTAGCGTCGTTGAGCAGGAAAAGATCGACCATGTCATGATCGAATTGGACGGAACGGAGAACAAATGTAAGCGGGGGGGAATGCATAAGCCCCCCCCCCGGTGCCCTCCCCCCCCCAGCAGGAAAGCCTTACTCTGAGGCTGGGCTGGAGCTGACCTATAACCCTTTTTGCCTTCACAGCCAAGTTTGGGGCCAACGCCATCCTGGGGGTCTCCCTGGCTGTGTGCAAGGCTGGGGCGGCCGAAAAGGGGATCCCCCTCTACCGCCACATCGCGGATCTTGCTGGGAACAAGGAGCTCATCCTGCCAGTGCCGGTGAGTGGCCCAGACGGGGAGAGGGAGGGAGGGGAGGGGGCTTGGCAGCTTCAGCTCATGGGGCCCTTGCAAGACGGGAGCTTCTGGGGGGTCTCCCTGGGGGTGGGAAGGCTTCCCGAGGGCTGAGCGCTCTGCCAGGACACGGGGCAGAACCCCAGCTCTTCCGCAGCCAGTCCAAGGGCTCAGCGCCTGCTGTCCCCCCCACCAGGCTTTCAACGTGATCAACGGGGGCTCCCACGCGGGGAACAAGCTGGCCATGCAGGAGTTCATGATCCTGCCGGTGGGGGCCAGCACCTTCAAGGAAGCCATGCGTATTGGGGCGGAGGTCTACCACAACCTGAAAGCCGTCATCAAGAACAAGTACGGGAAGGATGCCACCAACGTGGGGGACGAAGGCGGCTTCGCCCCCAACATCCTGGAGAACAACGAAGGTGAGAGGGCTGCAGGGGTGGGCGGTGGGGGCAGGGAGGGTAAGTGGAGGCAGGCGCCTCCCCTCTCAGGACAGGCTGTTTTTCAGCCAGACTCTGCTGCCACAAGGATTGTGTTTCACCCACGCTCACAACCCTCGGCCTTTGCCTGCTGGGGGTGGTGGGGTGGGGGCGGGAGTTACCTCGTGGGCTGTAACCGGAGCCTTGGCTGGGTGGGGAATGCAGGCTTCTTGGGATGGAGGGAGCAGGTTGGAGCAAGGGGTGCAGCCCCATGCCTCCCTCCTGCCCTTCACCCAAGGGGCACTTAGAAAAGGTTTTCATCCCTAAGACAAGTTTCCTAAAAAGCCATTCATGTTGCTTCCAAACCAGGAGTCTGCAGCTTTAAGACCCGTGGATTTCAACTCCTGTGGGATTCTGGGAGTTGAAGTCCACAGAAAGTTGGCCAAGGTTGCACAGCCCTGATTCAAGCAGACAAATTTAGGAACGCCTGAGCAGAGGAAAAGAGGAAGCCCATTTTTCCCCCCAAGGGGTCCCTTTGGGGCAATAGAATCCTATCGAGTTGGGAGGGTTCCCAGAGATCACGAAGCCCATCCCACTTTGTCAGCAGGGATCCAGCTGAAAGCATCCCTGACTCTCTCCTGTGGGGTGCCTGCCCTGAAAGGGATTAAACCTCTATTGTGGAATCATCGTCTTCAGAACGAGGGGCTTTTTCCCCATGAACCCTATTGAATAGAACCAGCTCCATCTGCCCTCGGTTCCCCCTCCTCTATTTTGCTAAAAGTCCCACGATACCTTATCAAAGCTTTTGCTGAAAAGAAAAAAACGGATTGTGCCGCCTTCTCTACCAAGGTGGCCACAGGCGCAAAGGCACCACCATGCCTGCCACCGTCTCCCTTAATTGATGCTGGACCGACTGACCTATGTTCAGAGGAGCCCCCCTCCCCCATCCCCAGCTGATTGGCCCTGGTGCCTCCTCTGGCCCGGGGGATGCCAGGAGCAAGACCTTGGCACCTTGGGTGCAATTAATCCGGCCTTGGGAAGCTGAACTCTTTTCAAGCCTTTATTATGCCCTGATCACCTTTCTGCCCAGCTCCAGCCCTTGATGGGAGGGAAACTCCACCCTGGGGCTGGGGAAGTTGACCGGCTCTGCCTTGAATTTCCTCCTCCTCAGCGCTGGGCTCCACCAGATATTCAATGGGAGCATTGATCTTTTTTCCCCCATTTGCCTTGGGGGAAGCAGCCACAGGCAAAGCAGAAGCAAATCAGCCACCGGAGGGATGAACAGGGCGCACGCATGCATCCCTGTTGCTCTCCGTGCGCTCTGCGCTTGTGTCACAGTTCTGTGGGTCCTCCAGATCAGCCGGCTCTCTTCTGCGGGCCTCCTGGGCACCATCCAAGTAGGACCTGCTTTCCCCCCCCCTCCCGGGCCTGTTCACACGCCCCGTGTGCAACCCAATCTTCACGCAGGGATCAAATCCCCTCCCAAGCATTTCTCTCCTGACATTCATGCTTTGGATGCAGTCCACATTCCTTCAAAAGGGGGGGGGGAGGGTGGCTTTCACCTCCCCTTCTTAAGAAGCCCTTTTGCAACTGGCTTCTCTGCTTCCCTTCTTGACATTCTCAGGTTTAACTTCCTGCATTATGAAGGGGGGGGAGGGAGGGAGGCCTTCCTTCCTTCCCTTTCAGAAACACACAACCCGCCTCGCTCAATCAACAACACAGCTTCTGCGTACAAAAGCAGGCACAATCATCACCTCTTGAGATGCCACATCTTTAATATCAGTGTGAATTTACTTGACTGTGAAATAACCAAGAACCAGGTTCCCCCTCCGGTCAATTTCTCTTGGCAGTGACCAATCCGCCCCTTCTTTGGATTATTCCTGCCCATAATTCCCCTGGGGGCCACCCCAAGAACCCCCCCCCCCGGCATTCAAAGCGGCTTCTCGCTCTCCTTCCCTTGTTTGTTCCTCAAATGCAAATCCTTCCTGCTTTGTGTTTGTTCCTTTGCCACCTGCAGTCAAAGCAGCCGGCATTTGGCCTCTTAGGATTTGCAGCTCACTTGTGGGGCCCTCGGGGGGCTCGGTGTTTTTCTCACAGACGTTTCATGACCACACTAGGGAACACCATCAGTGCACCCACACATTACCTGGTTTGGGTAAAGAAAAGCCTGCAAGGGAAGAACTGGGCCAGGGGAGGCCCACCTTCCGCCTCTCCCCAGATTTCGGCCACCGGCTGAAATGCGGCTGTCGGCTTTTGCGAGGATTTGCCACCAGCTTCCCCGAGTGGCACAGACAGGCCGGGGGGGGGAGTTGTTCCCTGCAATCCAGGACCCCCCACCTTTGCTCATATTAGGAGGGGCTCATATTGAGCCGAGGTGGTGCAGTGGTTAAATGCAGCACTGCAGGCTGACTGCTAGATCAGCAGTTCGGCTGTTCAAATCTCACCGGCTCAGGGTTGACTCAGCCTTCCATCCTTCCGAGGTGGGTGAAATGAGGACCCAGATTGTTGTTGGGGGCGATATGCTGACTCTGTAAACCGCTTAGAGAGGCCTGAAAGGCCTATGAAGAAGCGGTATATAAGTCTAACTGCTAACTGCTATTTTCACTGACCCACTGGCTTCCCCCTCCCACCCCCAGCCCTGGAGTTGCTGAAGAGCGCCATCGAGAAAGCCGGCTACCCGGACAAGATCGTGATCGGCATGGACGTGGCCGCCTCCGAGTTCTTCCGCAAGGGCAAATACGACCTGGACTTCAAGTCCCCCGACGACCCCAGCCGCTACATCTCTGGGGAGAAGCTGGGCGAGCTTTACCAGAGCTTCATCAAGAACTACCCAGGTGTGGAGGAGGGCGGGGGGGGGAGGCACCGGAGGGTGGGGGGAGCACTGGGCCCGCAAAGGTGGTGGGGTGCGTGACTCCCGGCTGCCCCCCTTGCAGTGGTCTCCATCGAGGACCCCTTCGACCAGGACGACTGGGACACCTGGAAGAGCTTCCTGACCAAGGTGCAGATCCAGATCGTGGGGGACGACCTGACGGTCACCAACCCCAAGCGCATCCAGAAGGCGGTGGAGCAGAAGGCCTGCAACTGCCTCCTGCTGAAGGTCAACCAGATCGGCTCCGTCACAGAGTCCATCCAGGCGTGAGTCCCTGGCCTGGGGAGGGCGGGCGGGGGGGGGGTCCCTTCTGAAGGGAGGGCCCCATCTCTCCCAGGGGACCCCCCGGCTGCTTGCTCAGCTGCCCCCTTCTCTCTCTTCCAGCTGCAAGTTGGCCCAGAGCAACGGCTGGGGGGTGATGGTGAGCCACCGCTCCGGGGAGACCGAGGACACCTTCATCGCCGACCTGGTGGTGGGGCTCTGCACTGGGCAGGTGAGAGAGAACGGCCGCCCCTCCCCTCCGTCCTCCCAGGCCCTGGGGGGCCCTCGACCTCCTCCTAAAACCACCCCTCCCTCCCTTTGCAGATCAAGACCGGAGCCCCCTGCCGCTCGGAGCGCCTGGCCAAGTACAACCAGCTGATGAGGTGAGAAGAGCAGATCCTCCTTCCCCATCCTTTTTATGTGGGGGGGTTGTGTGTTTCTGCTGCTGACTGAGGCCCCTCCCTGCCTTTCCACAGGATCGAGGAAGAGCTGGCGGATAAAGCAGTGTTTGCTGGCCGCAAATTCCGGCACCCTCTGGCCAAGTGAGCCCTCCAGGAATCCAGCGGGGAAGGGGGGGGCTGCCTGCTGAAACGGACCCCCCCTTGCCCTTCGAGGCCTCCGGTCTCTTTTACCACCTGTAGATCACCTGTGAAACTGCCCCAACTCCACCTTGGGGGCCTGAATAGAACGGCTGCTGTGCCTACCACTTTGCCCTGTGTGTGAGTCGTTCTTGAGAAAAGCTGACCAGGCTGCCCCCTCCGGCGCCCACTTCCCTGCCAAGACTCTTTTAAGGGTCCCACGTTCACCAGGCCAAGCTCAGAGTCCCCACTGCGGGCAGACAGGAGGGCAGCAAAGGCAGACCCACAGCCCAGCTGCTGTACTCCACCACCCCCCACAAGCCCCAAGGGCTCAGGCCCACCCCACGCTGCACAGCCTCCACTGCCTCCACCCCCCCATCTCAAGATACACCGTGGGACCGACCGCAGCCACTTCTCTTCCTGAGCAAATGAAGCCCTTCCCAAAGAACTGGAGGCAAACAGGGGGCAGCACTGGTAGGAAGAGTTTAATGGGATGGGTACACGACACCCCGCCAGACGTTGCAACCAGGCCTCTGGGCTGCCCTCCATCTGGGGGCTCCCAAAACAAAGGGACCGGAGGGGCGGGGGGGGGGGTGATTAAAAAAATTTTTTTTGTCAAAAGGTCACCCCAGGGGGAGAATAAAAACCTGGTATTATACACACACACACACACACACACACACTCTGTAGTTGCCCAAAGGGAGCCGAGACCAGGAGGTCTGCCCTGCTGCCCCAAAAGAAGTGGCCACTTGTCCTTCCTCTCCTACCGAGCTGTGCCAACACCAAACAACGGGGGGTGGGAGGAGGAGGAGGAAGCTCAGGCCCAGGCCTTCCAGGGACATGAGGAGGTTCTGCCTAGAGGGCAAAGGTCAGCCCCAAGATGATGCTGTGGATGGGAGTGGGGCATTTGGGTGGCAAAGCTGGGGGGCTGCAGCCCCACAACTGAGCCAGATGGGGACTCCTCCCGTGGCTCAAAAGTGACCCACCAAGCTGGGTAATAGAGTTCAATGGGCAGAAGGAGGAGACAACTGTGGGAGGGGGACGCCTATTCACACAGACCCTCCTCACCTTTCCTCAATCGGCTTAGGCAGCCTTTAAAACGCTTTTTTAGCGCATTAAAAAGCAAATTCTAGCTAGTAGTTTGAGGGGGGGAGGGAGAGGACTGGAGGATGAGAGTCCCCACCGATTCCTCCCCCCCCCCACGGGAGCAGCCCTGAGGCCGCCCCACAAGATGGAACGGGGCCACCGAGGGCCCTTAGGAGCTCTTGGCCTCCTCCTCGCTCTGGCGCAGCCGCTTCTTGGCCCGGATCTCGTTCATGGCCTCCTCGATGGAGCGCGTGTCCCTCTTGTTGGCCACTGGCACTGCAGGAGGAAGAGGAGGAAGAGTGAGAGGGGAGGGGCTTCCAGGGGGCGCCTCTCCCCCCCCCCAGCGCCACTGCCTCCACGGGGCTCACCGCAGCCGTAAGCCTTGTTGGCCTCCATGGCCTGGGCGGCGTCCTTGGCGGCCACCCGGCCGATCAGGTGGCTGTACTTGTCCTTGTAGTCGCTGGGAGGGGTCACCTCCGCCGGCCCACGCAGCGCCTCCTCCTCCGCCTGACGCTGCGCCGCTTCCTGGGGGGGGGGGAGAAAGAGACACCAGCTGCCCCTCAGCTGCCGCACAGAGTGCCCCCCTCTCCCACCCCCCATCCCTCCCCCCTGCGCACCTTCATCCGGCGCCGCTCCTCTGCCTGCCGGGGGTCCCACTCCTCCCCGCGCCGGTAGGCCTCCAGCTCCTCATCGCAGGGCGCGAACTCCTGGGGGGGGGGAAGAGGGGGTCAGGGGAGGGGTCGTGCGTGGGGGGGGG